GTGGCCTCAATCTAGAAAACGCGTGTTTTTCTCATGATTAATTGTACGTGGCATGCTCACGTGTTGGCAAACCATCCGCATTATTTGTTCTTGCACCCGACCAAGAAACGAAGAATGTCGTTTACCACAAGGTGCTTGAATGAAAATCCGATTAATAAATTCATCAGAGTGTATCCCAACCTGAACAACATAGCTTTCAACAATTTTTTACCTAGAAATAATGGATGGGGCAATGCAACGTTTGCCGGGTCAGCTAGTTAAAAATAAAAAAATCTTTGTATCAATTAACTTTATATACAACGCAAATTTGAAGTCTCCAGGTCTAAAAGTGTTCAAATTAGGCTGAAAAAACAAAGTCGATTTTTCGATTATTCTCGATAAAAAAGTTATCGGATGAGTTATCGAAAAAATATGATTAACTTGTACTGCCTATGGTATACACGAGTATGCATGCCAAATTTCAGCTCTCTAGCTCTTATATCTTCTGAGATCATTTTCCTTATACGGACGGACGGACAGACGGACAGGACTATATCGACTCAGCTCGTCGCCCTGATCAAGAATATATATACTTTATGGGGTCTGCGATGACTCCTTCTGTCTGTTACATACTTTTCCCAAAACCATTATACCCTGATTTCCCATTTTCAATGGGTTCAGGGTATAAAAAAATATCGAAATGTTTCGAGGCTGCCCTACTCTAACATAACTTGCGCCGCCTTTAGTACCCGCGCCACTGCTTTGCTTGATCAGCTATTAGCTAAAATGGAATAACTTAATAATGGCTAGTAAATCTATAAATCAATCGAAATTCTAAGAAACGCGCGCTTCTGTCTGTACGCATAAAATACACGATGATTGTGTGCACATGTATAGGAAAATCGCGCTGATCTGCTGCTAGTTTGGAGCTGGTATCCAACATAGGTATATAAATCAGAGCTCTCAAATGAGAGTTGATCGTTTTTTCGTATATGCTCTGCTTCGTATCATAACCGAAAAGCTTGTGCAGTCACGATCTCGCTCTGAGCACTCTTAATTATACCCTGAACCAGTGTTGCCAAATCAGCTTTTTTCCCGAAAAATCTGGCTTTTTTGAAAAGCCGATTGCGGGAAAAATTCCAAAACAGCGGACAGCGGGAATTCTGGAATAATTTGCTTTATTTCCGCTTTTTTATTTATTGAAGAAATTTTCGTATTTTGTATGGATAATTCGTATGAAGAATGAAGTTTTCTTCATTGTAGTTAAATTAAAACCAAATAGTTCAGTAATTCAATTTTCAATGAACGAACCAAGCGGTAATAATATGGAACTAACTAAACTAGGATATGATTTATATTTAATTCAGAACAACCTATTGTGAACAACAATATCGAACTTTTTGATTCTATGTAAATGAAACGAAAAGATTAAAAAATGTATGCAACTCTTTTGATAGCGTGTAGTACAAGAATTTATGTGTTTAAGGTTGCCGACAACAATAGTGAAAAATGTTGATTCCTTTTCATGCATATATATTTTTGGAGAACATTGATAGTATTGAACCCCAATATAAGAACATCCACCCAATTCAATAGGAAACTACTCAAGACGCTACAGAGTTTTGAGTTGAGAAGCGTGTTCTAAGGGTTTGATAGGATATAAGAAATTTAGGAACTTGGCCACTTTTGCATTGTTTTCTTTGCCAATGCCCAAGTGGGTAACATTTTTCGTCAGATCAATACTGCGATGCTTAACTCAATTTCAAGCATCTGGTGAAACATATATTATAAAACTTCACAGATACGGCTTGCGGTGTTTGAAGAAATGATGCCATGATTATAAGTTGTTAAAAATATATTTAAATATCAATCAAATCAAAGTAAAAAACATCAGCTTTTTTTCCGATTTTTTTTCACAAAACTTCGGCTTTTTTCAAAAGTATCTTCCCACTAAAAACAGCTTTTTTGGGTCAACAAAAATTGGCAACACTGCCCTGAACCCATTTTCAATGGGAAATCAGGGTATAATGGTTTTGTTGAAATGTATGTAACAGGGAGCAGGAGGCGTGGCAGACCCCACAAAGTATATATATTTTTGATCAGGGCGACGAGCTGAGTCGATTTGTCCCTGTCCGTCTGTCCGTATGTTTGAACGCGTCGATTTCCGAAGATATAAGAGCTAGAGACTTCAATTTTTTTTTTTTATGTTCGTACAAACGAGGAAACGAAAACATAAACAACTGTCTCGCTCAGAGCGCGAGCGAGCTAAGCCAGACGCGACAAAAACAGTTTCTGTCTGAGTTTTTTTGACTGTGTCAGTGAAAGACACTTATTTGCAGACAACGAAAAAGTGTTAACAGTTATTTGCGAGCTATGTTTTTTATCGATAAAAACCCTTATCGAAAATAAAATTATATCTCCTACACCTTTATTGCTAGTCTCCAAATTTTTTATGTATGCTTATATGCAATTTATGCAATTTCGGTTTTTGTTAAAATTTACCCCCCACCTCTATATTCAGCCCCTCACCATCACTTTTGTAAAAAGCGTATTTCAAATACTAGAGACTTGTGCTTTGGCAAATACATGCATATCCATGTTATAATCATAATATAAGTATCATTAAGATCGTAAGTCCACGAAAAAAGTTATTAAACGCCCATGCGCGGGTATATGTGTGTGTGTGTGTATGCATGCCTGTGTGTGCGTGTGTCTTGTATAAGTAGAAAGACGCGAAAAATAATTGAAATATCTATTGCTCCAAGGGTTCAGGGGATCTCGTAGTCGAGCAGTCTCGACTAGAGCTTTCTTACTTGTTTTCTTTAGAATCTGTTTCGGTCAGATGCATTGCAATGACTCATTCGTGTGACGCTCTCAAATGAGTGTCGCGTAAAGACTAATACGATTTTCCCTCACACAAAGATAACTAACACAACTCAGCAAAAGACAGTTTGACTAAAAAACTCAACAGAAACTATCTTTGCCTTCGTGTGCATGTAAATACATGCATAAATACATACAAAAAGAACGCAACAATCGCGCGTGATTATCCATACAAATGCAACTGACAGTTTGCTTCATTTAACTCAAGCAAACGATCAGTGTTTGACTTGAGCGAAACGAAAACAGAAATAACTGTCTCGCTCAGAGCGCGAGCGAACTAAGCCAGACGCGACAAAAACAGTTTCTGTCTGAGTTTTTATACCCTGAACCCATTGAAAATGGGAAATCTGGGTATAATGGTTTTGTTAAAAGTATGTAACAGGCAGAAGGAGGCGTGGCAGACCCCACAAAGTATATATATTCTTGATCAGGGAGACGAGCTGGCCCTGTCCGTCTGTCTGTCCGTCCGTCCGTATGTAAGAACGCGTCGATCTCAGAAGATATAAGAGCTAGAGTCTTGAAATTTTTTTTCCTAGGTCCGTGTATATCACGCGCATATCAAGTTTTTCTTTATATATTGATAACTACCTCCGATAATTTATTATCGATTAAAAACCTTATCGAAAGCTAGTTATTTAATTATACCTCCTACACCTTTAGAGCTAGAGCTTGCAAATTTTAAATATAGACTTATATGTATTTTATATAATTTCGATTTTTGTTGTAATTTACCCCCCACCCTTATACCCACCCCCGCACCCTCACCTTTGTAAAAGACGTATTTCAAGTACTAGAGACTTGTGCTCTGGAATGTTCATACATTTTTACCATATGATTACGCTCTAAAAGTTTCATTAAGATTATACGTCTAGAAATCAAATTATTCAACAAATAAATTCTTATAATGTTGCCCACACTACAGCGCAGCCTAAGCGCAGTCGCTGCTTACTGCGCAGTTAGCAGAGCGCGTTCTAATACGTGTGTGTGTATGTATGTGTGTCGAAAAGAAGTGCAGACTGATTAGAATATCAGATTAGAGGGTTCAGGGTATCTCCTAGTCGAGCAGTCTCGACTAGAGTCTTCTTACTTGTTTGAATTTGAGAATGATTTGAATTTGAAATAAAATTTCTTTGTGTATATGTATATACAGAGGTGGTCAAAAGTATTTACACAACGAACATTTTTCTACATGCTCTGCCTAAAGAGCTTTTTTTTGTTGTTTTCGTTCGCCGTTTTTGAAAAAAAGCTTTTGTGGCATAAAGCCTATTCTATGTAGAAGCGATCGGCTGAAGAAATTGCTAAAATAACGGTACATGCTAATAAATAGAGCGAAAAGAACAATTACTTAGAGGTTGTCAAAAGTATTTACACACATTTTTTTTGCGTCTTTAGTATTTACACAAAACTTAAACAATGTTTATTGCTATTGTTTAATGTTATTTCTTTTGTATTTTTGTTTTATATAACTAAGGGCTTATTTATTTAAGTTTGTGTTTAGTTATTTCTGCTTTTACTTCAATTACAGCCCGATGCCTTGCTGGAATTGATGCCACCAAGGATCGGGCAAAGTCAATTGTTAATTTCGACCAAATTTCGGAAATTTCCTTGATGATATCGTCCAGTTTCGGTCCTTGTTTTGATTATGTCAGTGAAAGACACTTATTTGCAGACAACGAAAAAGTGTTAACAGTTATTTGCGAGCTATGATATAAATATGTAATATATATATATATATATATATATATATATAGCAATAGCTATCGATGATTTTCCAATTTTAATGGGATCATGTTCTGTTGCACACTAGACATGAAAATTGCACTGTATTCTCTGGTTGACAACGTTTGGGCTGTTTAATAAGTTCTACACAATTTCCAGATCTTATCCAAAGCATCGTATGTACATATATCCGCAAAAGCGTCCCTTATGTTGGTTTGAGTTCCGAGTGGATTAAAATCGCCTAAAATCTAACCCAACCATTTCTTTGAAGTGTGCGACTACTTTCAGTAATTGCTGAAAACTGTGGAGATCGACGCATTCGAACAGAGCTTGTACATTTAACACAACCATTATATGTACCCTAGCTATAAATAATAATAAATAATTTTAGTTATGTGATATGTATGTAAATTACTTACTTTTTTACCTTCCGTTATCACAAAGGAAGTTTTTTTTAAGTAACCAATTTTGACGATCTTGCAATAACTTTACGATAAACAATATTAAATTGAACTAAGTAATTTTCAAATAGTTCATAACACTGCAATAGATAACATAATTAATATGCATACAACACATATAATTAATATACATACATATGTATTTATGTATTTGGGTTGCATGGTTAAGATTGTGATATATGTATGTAGGTACATACATACACACATATTTGTAGGTGTCTAAATACATATACATATATAAATGTGTAATTATATAATATATGTAAATATGTACATATGTATATACAATTATTTTTTATCAACATAAAAGGTTAATCAACTACTTAAAACAGCATTATTATTATTATTATTATTATTTTTTTTTTTTTTTTTTTAAATAGAATATGTTAGTATGCGCTTTAGAACTAAAAAAATTATGACACATACGCTCTCAAATATTTAAAGGAATTAATCTAAATAAAAAAAATTTGTTTAAATTTGCACTTTGTTTAATCATAAATGTATCCTAGTGGTATGACTGCTTTTATATGTATGCCTGTATGTACATGCATGTGTATGTATGTTCATATGTAAATTTATTTTTACCGTCAAGCTTTGTATTTGAATTTGCTTTCACAATATTTCACAGATAATATTTTAATATTTTGCGTTGATCACTATTATCTTAAACTTTATTAATTAAATACACAATTTATAAATATCTATTTTGAAACTATTTTGAAAAACTAGGCGTCGACTCAGTGTATAATTTTGTCAAACGTATTTATCGAACGAACGCTTGCTTGGAACTGGTTATGAGAACAGTTTGTAAGCTTGGTTTTTTATTAGTTTCTTTGACAATGAGCTTCGTTGTTGTATTGCTTGCTTGTATCAAAACAAAATAAAAACAATACACATTGGAGCATTGAAGGTGCAAATGAGACAGACAATCAGACCGTGAGACATCAAGCTAGAGAGCTATACATACATACATATGTATGTATGTACATACATATTCAGCTTCACTTACAAACCGCAAATACTTTTGGCTTAGTATTTGTTAATATTTTGTTGGTTCACTTTGTGAAAATGTGTAGAGTAAACAAAACATGTTTTTGGTGCGGTCTTTTAATATAAGCATCGTCATTGTCTAATTTTATGTAATTTTTGCACAGCTCGCACATGAATGCTGAAATTTCCTATTTTATTTTTCATTACACTAATAAAATTGGAATTGTTAAATTTGGTTTCATATAAGTACATATCACCGTAAATCTCTTATATAGTCTAATCCTGTTCATACTAAATACTCCATAAAGCTAAAATTTGTATTTGGTTTTATGAAATACGCTGAACCCCCAAATTTCGAATTTGGATAGTTGAATTAGAGTTGAGTTACTAGTAATCTCCTCTATCGATGACCCAAAAATAATTGTAACGCTTTTTGAAGGGCGTGGAATTTCGAAAAATACCCTGCGATTCGGTCGTTCTAAAAACTGGCCAAACCTTAGACCACTTCGGCATTTGTAGTGTCAAATTGCTATATTTATATGCGTTTGCCATCTATATATCTATATATACATACATGTATATAATAAAACGGAAGGAAAAATTTCTATGGAATTCAAAATAACAATGTAAATTAAATTGTACATCTTGGAAAAAATTAAAAGTAATTAAAAATTTTCTGCTGGGCTCAAAATACGTGACTCATATATTTATATAAATATATAATAGTTCCACAAAACATTAAAATGAGCAGCATTCGGAGATTCCTCTATTTCGTTTTTTCAAACATACAATTTATGTTTCCACTGTATTCGTATATGTGTAAGTAATTTACTTGTTACCTGAATCCACCAGTTTTGAGAACAATTAGATGAGGTAGCCTAATTAGTGTTTACAAACCCATAAAAGTGCTTATATGCGTTACTCAAAAAGAATATAATAAATACTGAATTTGTATTTCAGCTGAGGTTATCCGACAGATTAGTAAATAGGTTTGGTATACTAATTCTAAAACAATAAATGATAGACGCTACCAGCTAAGAAATACTAATTATTTGAATCTATTGAAAATAAAAATAAACAAGTAAGAAGGTTGCAGTCGGGCGATACCGATTGCAGAATACTCATTCACAGCCCAAGTTCATTTAATTTGGAAAATAATCGATAGCTATTGACTTTTATATCTAGTACATCTTTGGAGCTAGGATCTTCAAATTACAATTTTTATTAAGCTAGGTACACACGATGCAAACAATTTGCAGCAAGTTAAAAATAATTTGCAGCAAAAGTTTGCACAAATGCTCACACCAATGCAAATATTGCATACAAATTACTTGCTTCAGTCAATTTTTGTTTTGCACGCAAACTTAGGCATGGCTATTTCGTGCAATATATTGCATTAATGTCTACACGTGTTTTCATTTTTATACCCTGAACCCATTTTCAATGGGAAATCAGGGTATAATGGTTTTGTTGAAATGTATGTAACAGGCAGAAGGAGGCGTGGCAGACCCCACAAAGTATATATATTCTTGATCAGGGTGACGAGCTGAGTCGATTTGGCCCTGTCCGTCTGTCTGTCCGTCCGTCTGTCCGTATATATGAACGCGTCGATTTCAGAAGATATAAGAGCTAGAGACTTAAAATTTGTTTTTAAAATGTCCGTATTTACAGCGCGGATATCGAGTTTATCATTAAAAATCGATAACTCATCCCGATCTTTTTTTATCGCTAAAAAACCTTATCGAAAACCAGTTATTGAACAATTAAGTTCTCATAGTAAGCGCACATTGCCGCCCATGCGTGTTTATGCTTGTGTGTGTATGTGTGTGTAAGTGTTTGTGTATGTGTGTGTGTGCGTGTTTCTTGTGTAAGCTGAAAGACGGGAAAAATTATTGAAATAGCTATTGCTCCAGGGGTTCAGGGGATCTCGTAGTCGAGCAATCTCGACTATTGCTTTCTTACTTGTTTGTTTTTGTTTGCACGGCTTGCAAGTGACACTCATTTGCAAGTTCCATTGAATTGAAAAATTCAAGGAATAACGACGTGTTTATATTATGTCGGCTCAAAAATCGAAAGTTGCTCCTGTTGCTATATTAGCAATTTTGATGAAACGAAAAAAAATGAGAAGATCAAAGTCTGCCAAATAAACAAAAAAAAGTGTTGGGTGAAGGAGTGGATTTCTAAAAGAGATGAAAAAGGAGTGCATCAGAACCTTTTAAAAGAGCTGCAATATGACGATGAAAAAAACTTTTACAATTTTCGCATGTCACTCAGTGATTTCAATTTTTATACCCTGAACCCATTTTCAATGGGAAATCAGGGTATAATGGTTTTGTTGAAATGTATGTAACAGGCAGAAGGAGGCGTGGCAGACCCCACAAAGTATATATATTCTTGATCAGGGTGACGAGCTGAGTCGATATAGCCCTGTCCGTCAGTCTGTCTGTCCGTCCGTCTGTCCGTCTGTCCGTATGTTTGAACGCGTCGATTTCTGAAGATATAAGGGCTAGAGACTTCAAATTTTTTAAAAAATGTCCGTAATTACAGCGCGGATATCGAGTTTATCATTAAAAATCGATAACTCATCCCGATCAATTTTTTTTATATCGATAAAAAACCTTATCGAAACCCAGTTATAAAATTATATCTCCTACACCTTTAGAGCTAGAGCTTGCAAATTTTAAATGTAGACTTATATGTATTTTATATAATTTCTATTTTTGCTGTAATTTACCCCCACCCCTATATCCACCCCCTCACTCTCACCTTTGTAAAAGGCGTACTTCAAGTACTAGAGACTTGTGCTTTGGAATGTACATACATTTAAACAATATGATCTGAAAGTTTCATTCATTGTACGTCTAGAAATTAAATTATTCAACAAATAAATGCTTATAATGTTGCCCACACTGCAGCGCAGCCCAAGCGCAGTCGCTGCTTACTGCGCAGTTAGCAGAGCGCGTTCTAATACGTGCCGAAAAGAAGTGCAGAGTGTTTAGAATATCAGATTAGAGATTTAATTGCAGAAATCAACTTGCTGCAAATTGTTTGCATCGTGTGTACCTAGCTTTATACATGAACCCATTTTCAATGGGAAATCATGTTTGTTGAAGAGCTAGAAAGCTGAAATTGAGTATGTAGGTCCGCGCCGACCACCCAAGATGACAAGCTGTATCTCCTAAAGTTATAAACCTAGAATGCGGAAATTTTGCATTATTCCCCTATATAAACAAGTAAGAAAGCTATAGTCGAGACTGCTCGACTACGAGATCTCCTGAACTCTTGGAGCAATAGCTATTTCAATAATTTTTCGCGTCTTTCAGCTTACACAAGAAACACGCACACACACACACACACACATGCACGCACACACAGGCATACATACACACACAAACGCATACACACACACATACACAAACACATACACACACATACACAAAATCATACACACAGAAGCACCCACGCATAAACACGCATGGGCTGCAGTGTGCGCTTACTATGAAAACTTAATTGTTTCACTTTTCTTGCGAACATACGATCTTCATGAAACTTTTATATTATGAATATAACAAACATATGCATGTATTAGCAACGCACAAGTCTCTAATATTTGAAATACGATTTTTAAAATATGTGGGTGAGGGACTGGATATCGGGGTGGCGGGTAAATTTTTGACAAAAATTGAAATTCTATAAAGTAAATACGAATCTATATTTCAAATTGGGCGACTCTAGCTTTAAAGATGTTGCAGATATAAATTTATTACTAGTTTTCGATAATGTTAAGAACATTATAAATAACGGGACAAGTTATCGAGTTTTAAAGCAAAACTCGATATGCGCGTGGTATACACGGACCTAGGAAAAAAATTGAGATCGACGCTTTTAAACATACGGACAAACGGACAGGGCTAAATCGATTTTTAAAATTTTAACAAAAATCGAAATTTCATAAAGTACATATCTATATATATAAAAGAGAGTTGTGTAAAAGTGTCTTAGCACTTAAAACTCGAGATCTGCTGAACCAATTTTCATGGTTTTTGATTTGTTGGATTTGTCTCCTCCACGAGTAGGTCAGTAGATCTTTAAAATACTGAAAAAAATTTGACGAATACTTGAAAAACGCGGTTTTTTCCCTAAAGATTCAAATTTCCATTTATACTCAGTAGCCTTGACAACAGTGGCAGTTTCGGTCCTGTATGGAAGTAAATAAACAAATGTAGTCAGTCAGTCTACGGCACAGCCTCAAGCAGACGTGACTATTCAACAAAAAAAAAAAAAAAGACTATTCAACAAAATTAAAAAAAAAAAAAAAAAAAAAGACTATTCAAAAAAAAAAAAAAAAAAAAAAAAAAAACAAAAAAAAAAATTTTTTTTCCAAATCAAAAAAAAAAAAAAAAAAATATTTCAAATCAAAAATCTGCAAAACTTCAAAAAAATCAAAAGATTAAAACCTGACTGTTCAAAAAATAAATAAAAAATTCAAAATTCGAAATTAAAAAAAAAAATAAGTTAATTATTAAAAAGTGTATTTTTGGCTTTTTATATTTTTGGACTTTTAAACTTTATAAATATTTCAAATCAAAAATCTGCAAAAATTAAAAAAAAACAAGTAAGAAAGCTCTAGTCGAGA